TCCTCGATGCTCCTCGAATGTTTCTTCTCCTCTTCTCCGTCCCGCCGTCCCTGGTGTTCCGACCCCATCACCGCCATTGGCTTTTGAGAGGCCTCCACCTGCGGGGCCTCGGGGGAGGGCATCGGAGAGTGGATCGGCAACTCCAGCGTGAGCATGGTTCGGAGGTTGATAGACCTCCTACCCTGACACGTCGATTGGTGAATGTGCCGTTTTCGGTTCGCGAGAGGGCGTCGCGGCCGTCATTTTTGCGGGTCCAGGTCTGTCGGTTTCGGTCCTAGGCCGTTTTCAGTGGATGGAGACTTACTAAAAGGAGGTTTGTCCACCGCCGAATGGTACGGTATGTTTGTGTGTTGTCGACGCCCTTCAGACCCAGGTGCCACAAGTTTTCCGCAGCGGTCGGTCTTGCCTCGTGTCGGCCCCGGGGCCATCGCAGATCGATTTGGCTCGGGAAATGCAGCAGAGAGATTGGGTCCAGCGATCTGGTCGTGAGTGTTCACGATGTTACAATTTGTTTGCATCGTCTGATCTCGGAGCTGCGGTGGGTTCGTGTGGTTTGGACGCGACGGCGACGCCAGCGCCAGGGGAGGGCCTGGGAGAGTGGATATGTCGGCGACGCGTACACGCCGGTCGTTGAAAGTAGATATTTCTGGACTCCTTGATCCCAATCTACTTCAAGTGCCTTCTTACTTCAAAATTCGATGTGCTTTTTGTTGTGGTTGATTGATCTCTGGGAGTGGTTGAGTACAATATACTTTGTCCGCCTTCCTACTTCATGTCTTTTCATACTTCTTCCGACTGACGTGTAAGTGTTCGAGTAGGGGATCGATTGCAGAGTGGATTATCCCCAACATGTTGTTCCTTGGTCGAATCCCCGAGAATACATAGAACGCTTTTAGATGATATGCTGCACATTCTGTGATTTGTTTTGTAGATTCGACGAGCAGATCAAATCTCGGGGTACATCAATTCTGCAGTCGATCTCCCACTCGAGGAGCGACCCTTCGCAAGCTTTGACTTGTCGGTGCGGCCCCGCAGGGGTCCTCCGAGTACTGGCTGGCGCGCTTTGGACGTGGCCCGCCCGCGGCCCCCTGAGGCCACGCTCTGGAGGTCACTCTTGCGCCTAGGGTCTTGGCATCGCTCGGTCGTGTTTATTTACATCACAGAGCATCCTAGATCATCCAGCAAAAGAGAAGCACGCACACAACCAACACATGCACGGGGAATTGATGTCCGAGCGATGGCCAGGGGTCACCCTTGCATGTCCACGGAGCCTGCAACTTGAGCGTGGGCATGTTACGGTGGGTTCGCCAGACCTCCAACGCATTGAGAATTCAAGTCGGAGGTGTTCCGTCTTTTTCGGCCTCAGGGATTCCTCGCCGGAAATTAAAAAAAGGCTCGAAACCCGCACTGGAGAAAGGGTTGTGGAGTCTGGGGGGGCCGTACCCAACAAGAACAAGACATCGGATCTCGTGGTCCTTGTCGTGTGTGTGTGAGTGAGTGAGTGAGTGAGTGTTTGTGTGTGTGCGTCGACGCGGCGGCGACGCCGGCGCCAGCAGCTGTCGGAAGCCGCGATCGCTCAATCTTTATCAGTCCAAGAGGTGTCAGGAGACTGTTTGTCGGGCCCGCCCCCTCCCCCCTGGACAACCTGATCTTGTCGGTTGCCCAGGTTCGGCAGGGGTACGCAGTACTGGTGCGCGCGGGCATACGGGGCTACCCGAGGCGACAAGGTTAGCTCATCGGCTGGCACCTCCCTCCCTTGCCCCACACCAGATAGTCCAGGTGATCACCGAACAAAAACGATCTCCTCAGAAACCAGCGCCCGGGTCGTTTCGACACGAACCTGCCGCATGCTCCACCTCCACCTCCTCCTCGTGTTGCTTCGGATCTGCGCCGTGCGCATCTTTGCGCCGTTAGCCTTTCTCTCGCAGCGTCGCGGGCAGGTTGATGAAGTGGCGGGCCAGGGTGGGCAGGTCAGGGCGGGAGGAGGGGGTTCCAAACCATAAACCCAAACCCTAAAGTTTAGGGTTTAGGGTTTGTGATAGGGTTTAGGTTGTAAGGTTTAGGCTCAACAAGCGCGCGAAGATGTCGACATACTAGACGTGTCACTCACTGGCGCGATTCTCACATCCCACCCACCATAGTAACCATTTTCATATGAAGACGCACGCTCTGGTGCATGCAAGCTAGCGGGGAAGGCCGCGTGGAGCAGGGAGGAGCAGAGAGGAGCTGCGAGGAGCATGAAGGAGGAGCAGCAGGCAGGAGGAGCAGCACAGGAACGCGCGGCGGTCCTTCGGAGGAGCGCGCGATATCGTTACGGAGTGTCCGGGACCGCCTAGGGGCGCGCGGCAGTCCCTGCGAAGCGCGCGCTGCCCTCAAGCGGTCGCCGCGTGGACGGACTGTGCCCCGCACTATTTTGTTCGTGGACGGTCGTGAAAGGCGCAGAAGGAATGCGCGGGTGAGATATGCGCCGCGCCACATTGGTAATGCAGGATCGCGATAG